TCTTGGAGAGCAGCGCTTCAAACCGTTGCATGGCTGAGTCAATCTTGTCATCAAGATGCGAGCCCAGATCATTGCGCAATGATGCCAACTGGGTTTCGACTTGAATGCCGGTCTGCTTGACGTCCTGACGAAGGACTCCCAGTTCCTGTTGTTGGCCTTCCAGCGCACCCTTCAAGGCATGAGTGGCCTGTTCCTGCTGTGTCATACGCTGATTGGCCTGTGTAAACCATTTCTGAAACTGGTCGCCTTGTGCCCTCACCTCCTTGAGGCCCGCTTCAAGCTTAGAGAACCGTTGATCCACAGCAGGCGTAGATGATGCATCTGCGGCAACCGGGAGGTTCTTGATCTCCTTGATCACTTCATCACGAACAGAGTCCTGCAACTTCTGAGCCATCTCATCATAATGCTTGGTGACAGGCTTCGATGATGGTAGTGACACCTTGGCCTGAGAGTAAGCACTCCATGGATCATTGGTGAGCCAGGGGTCTGCATCAGGCTTGGCGGAACCAGTGGCATGTGCTTGGATGTGCCGCTGTGTGCGGCGAGATGCCGTCAGCAAACCAGAAGGAGTTGGAGCAGCAGAATGTTCCTTCACCAAAGTAATGAGAATGTCCCGGCCAAAGGCATGTACCGACGGCGAAGGAGGCTCCGTAGAAGCGCCTACATTCCAGCTAGCTCCTTCAGATGTGCCACGTGAGGGCTGTAATGGTCGGGCAGTCCATTTGATCTCCTTCAAAGGCTTGGCCAATGCTGCCCTCTGCAAACCATGAGGAAGTGGATGAAGTCGGTACACATGGGTGATGCGCACCTGCGCAAAATCAGAATTTGGTCTCAGCGCTTCATGCACCGTTTGCTCAAACTTGGCTAGTACCCGGATGCCATAGCGCGATTTGAGCCGTGTCATGGCGAGAGCTTCAGGCATTGTGCGCAGCAAATGTTGTGCATGATCAGCGTCACCCTGTGGAATCCAAACAACCGCATAGTTCGGATGAGCAGAACGAGTGGCTTCATCTCGGGGTTCAAAGTAGAGTCCAGCATGATTGGCACGAAGCACTGCGGGCGCAGCGTCAGCCAATGTGCGCAGGAAAGCGGTGAACAAGTCCGCCTTGGCCGCCTCACGTGAGGAGCCCGCCAACAAGTGATAGCGTCGGGCCCATACTTCTTGAAGAACTTGATCAGGATGCTCATCAACAGGGGGATGATAAAATCCACAGCGGCTTCCATCAGGACAAGGTGCGGTCTTGCAGAGCCGCAATGCCGGGACCATCGAAAGGACATGTTTCACTGGTGCCTTCATGAACTCCATCCAATCCAAAGGAAGCTCGTCCCGGTAGGCGGCCAGTTTGATGACCATCGTTTTGGCTAATGCGGTTGAAGCCATTGGGTCAGGAGGGCCATGCCGTTCAACTGATTTGTCACCAAGCTGGAGAAGAGCTCCACATATGAGTACCGGATCACCAGTAGCGGTGTATGTCGCAGGAAATCTGATGTCTCCAATCTTCGCAACACCCCTCTCATTGGCCGGGACCTCTTCCACAATGAGGAGAGCAAGAGCCATGGCCGAAATGGTTTTGGCCTGCTGAATGAAAGGAATTGCTTCAGCCTTGGTGCATAGGGCAACTCCCCGAGCATCATTGAAGACATCCTGAAAAGCAATCTGGGGCAATGAATCACCATCTGAATCCTTGAAAGGGTCTCCATGTAGTCGAAGATGGCTAGGGTCAGGCACAGCTGGCAAATCCTCCACCTTCCTATCTTTCTTGCGATCTCGTGGTACATGAGCCCCGTACTTTTCCTTGGCTCTCTGCGCAATGTGCTCTTGCAGCTCCCATGACAACACAAATTTGAACTGATGTTTGCCTTGATTGGCTACGCTCTTGAGTGCTTGCCACGGGTTCTTGGTCTTCAGGGCAGCAGCAAGCTTGTCGGATCCCAATGCAGCAATAGCATCTCCCCGAAGTGGCGCTCGGAACACCTTTTGTAGCCAAAAGTTGGGCCAGCTCACCTTGCAACCACATCCGGTCCCCTGGCCGTCAGATCACCAGGACAGAAGAGATGCTCGAGGAGCCAGGCATGAATCAGCTGAATGTGCATGGGGTCAAATGAGCCAAGCAGGCCTAACAAGGTAGCTGCGTGAGCAAGCGCAATCGTGCCACAAGAATAGCTGTCATCTTGATGCACCAAGCGGCGACGTCGAACGCCCAAGAAGTCGACCTTCAAGAGGCCAGCAAGCCTGCGAGCCAACAGAGTCATGGCTTCGGGCATGAAGTCAGCAATGCCATCAAAGTAGAACCAGTCCCAACCTTCCGGACCTTCACAGCCGTATAGCAAGGCCCAATGGTCACGAAAGGCCAAAGGCGCGAAAATCTCACCAGTATGATCAGGGACCACCGTCAGGAAAGATCGAAGGGTCATGTCAATATTCATCCAAAGAGCATCAATGCGCCAAGGACAAGGGCCTGAGGCATAGATTTGTGAAATCCAATCACCCAAGACCTTGTCAATGATGTGGGACCCCAAGCCACCATCAACGCCACCAGGTCCTCCAATGAAGGGGGGCTGGCCAGTCAGAGGACCCAAGCCACCCAAGTCAAGAGCTAATGAAGGAAAGCAATCATTGGCCAGGATGGTGAACCGTCCAGAAGCCCAAAGGCGATGGTCACCACCAAAAAGGCGACCATCGTCGTCAACCACAAAACGCTCCAAATAGAATCCATGCTCCCTCAAACAATCAAATATGAACGTGCCAGCCGTCACGCAGGAAATGAAGAACTGAGCGTCAGGACCTGTGCCATGCTGCAATCCAACCATGAGTAGACCCTGCGGAGTATCGGTGCGACGTCTCTTTGGCATACGATCAAGTTGAAGGTCAGCTTGCGAAGCCATGCTCACAAGATCATCGCCTGCCGAGAGTAAGAAGTCACCTGCACGCACCATCTGTGTGTAGCCCCAATCCAGAGTGATTCGTTCTGCTTGCAGAAAGCTTCCAATCGTGGTAGCCGTAGCGGCAAACAGTGACAAGCTGGAGCCATGCTCGGCCTTGATGTCGAGCTTCTGCAAAGGAGCAGACAATGGGGAGGGAATCTTCAATCGACATGATTCCTTCACAAAGTGGCCATACTTGTTGATCACTTCAAGCGGATGGATGAATGGCAACCTATCAATGTGTTGTCCTGCCCCTGCCACAAGTGTGGCAAATGTCCAGAGAACTTGCAGCGGAGCAGCAGCATTTCTCAAAAGGCATAGAGCCCCCCCGGACCGGCGCAAAGATCTTGAACTGTGGAGGCAAACTCATCAAGGCACCGAGCTCCACCGGATGAAGCAGCCGAGTCACATTGGAGTCATTATCCACCACAAAGAATGCTCGAAGTCCCTTCTGCCGCAAGGTTGCCTCATTAAACGCAGCCGAGCGGCATCCACAAGGACATGGATCGAATTGGCAGCCATAGGCGTGAAGGACGACGGGACAGATGTCATGACTCTCAAGCAATCTCTTGTCAGTGCCAAGGCTCTTATCCATGTAGTGTTGAAGCTCATCAACCGGCAGTTGCAGGTCGCTAACTGTGGCATCATCCCAACAACCCCATGCAAGAAGGGAGAACATCAGAAACTTTGGGGGTAGGTTCACAAAGAGGCCATGGGCGCAGCGGAAACCCTCCCCAAGCGGCTGGCCTCAGAGGGCAGTACCAACGAGATCTGCGCATCGGCCATTGATGATGTAGGTGCAAGATCGTTTGGTCAACCCGCCATCCCATCAAAGAGGCAAGATGCGCCAGCTCAGATTGAATGAACTCATCCTCAAGCACCGCCGGAACACATTCCAGAAGAGCAGCTTGAGGCTGGAGAAGAAGCAAACAATCAAGGAGCTTCCGAAAAGCCAAGGCTCTCTTGTCATGGAAGTGCAATTGAAGTCCTTGCTGACTAAAAGGTTGGCATGGAAAGCCTGCAAGCACCGTAAAGCTCTGTCCAGTGGTCCTAAGGGTCTTGTGCATGTCCTCAATCAGCACAACATCTCCCACATCACCCTCAAACACAGGCAGCTGAGAACTCTCACGAAGATGTTTCGAGGCTAATGGATTCAAATCACAGAAACAGGTAGAAGAGGTGCCAAGGAAGCTGGTAGCAAACCCCATAGCCCCGGTCCCGGCACACAAGTCCAACACATTCTCCAAGAAGCGCTCCGTATCGCAAAGAGCCTCAAAAATATCGGATGGTTCAATGGCCAACGTGAGTGGATCCGAAGCAACCAGCCGAGGGTGATAAGATGTAAACTGAACCGGAAGTGCAGCATCACACAAGAGGAGAACGGACTCCCCGGAAGCCAAACACCGCACAAGGACAGCCCCCTTGTCCACGGGGCGGAGGAACCTGAAGACACCAGGAGCTTCAGAATCGGCACCGAGCCGATCCATTCTCATGGCGCTAATCACACCGTGGAAAAAAAAGGGACTCCCAGCTATCTGCCGGCTCAGCTTCACTACTGGAAAGGACTGGGCCAAAAGCTTTCAAGGCACTCCTTAAAAGTGAAAGTGTACTTCAAAATGGCCTACGGCCCTTGAGAGCTGTGTGTTTCTATGCGCAAATGATTACTGCTGGTATGTTCCATCATCAGGCAGCTCAGCAGTAAATACTTGATGTTTGGCCTTTGCTTTAACAGGTACGTGGTACATCATCTACAGACATTTGTATGTTTCCTAGGTGCATGTACTGCCAGAAAAAAGGTGACAAGCAGGTATAGCAACGGCAACACGCAAGCACACTGTTGTGGAACAAGGAACCAGCGGATTCTCTTGCGGATTCTGTCCATGATGTTGTTCTCTTGATTGTACGAACTGGCCAGTTCCGCCCGCGTCCGGACCTGGCCGCAGCCAGATGCTGAAACCTTAAAACGCGTGGTGCCACACCGAAGTTTTCTTAGCAGTAGCACCCGATTTTGTCCCAAATGGATGGATTCTCAATCCATACACGTGGGAGAAGAGGATGGAAGCTGTGTGGCCAAGGCTGCGCTGCCGCGCCAAAGCTATCGAAGAGAGACTGGGATCAGAGCATTCTGAAACGCTGAAGGTGTTGAGCCGGCTGGGCCCTCGGTCTTTTCACCCACCAGACCATATGTAATGTAATGGACAATGGACTTTTGGAACTAAAAGCAAACCAAATAATTTGTGGATTTCTACTCATTTCATCCAACAGAGTTGGATGGGCATTTTCCATGACATTCCATGGTCTGTAATGTTATGATTTCCATTTCCCATTTCAGAATTCGTCTCAAAGCATTCAACAAAAGTCCACTCAAGATACAAGAATCAAAACCTCCAGACCGCAACAGACTTCACTTTGTGAACTTCCCTTGAAGACACCAGATCCTTTCGCAGTCCGGGTCCACGACCCGACCCCCTCCTCAGGCTGGCGACCGTGCTCGCGTGGCGCGGGTGCCTGGCGGAGTCGGAGCGGCTGCAGCGGCGCATCCTCGCGAGCCACGCGACCCCCGCGACGCGTCTCACGCGTCGAGGCGAGGAGGCCGAGGAGGCCGTGGAGGCCCTGACGGCGATGCATGCTCTGGCGGAGACGTTGAAGGACGCAGGCAAGCTGACGGAGGCCGAGATGTGGTCCAGAAAGGCGTTGATGGGATGTGAAGCTTTGCTGGGATGGAGGCATGCGGAGACCCTGAAGTCGGTGAACATGCTCGGGTTGGTCTTGTGGCAGCAGGGAGAGCTAGGAGACGCTGAGGTACTTTTCAGGAGAGCTTTAGAAGGGCGTGAGACGCAACTTGGGACCATGCACCCTGACACCCTCAGATCAATCAACAACCTTGCAGTGTTGCTGAAGAACTGTGGGAAGCTGAAAGAGGCTGAAGTGCTTTTTTGGAGAGCCTTAGATGGATGTGAGAGGCAGCTTGGGGCAATGCATCCTGAAACACTGACCTTTGTGAACAACCTGGCAGTGTTGCTGGAGAAGCAGGGCAAGCTTGAGGAAGCTGAACCGCTTTTCAGAAGAGCTCTAGAAGGACGTGAGGTGCCGCTCGGGGCAATGCGTCCAGACACCTTGACTTCTGTCAACAATCTTGCGGCGTTGCTGGAGAATCAGGGAAGACTGGAAGAGGCTGAGCCGCTTTATCGGAGAGCTTTGGAAGGATTTGAGGCTCAACTTGGAGCCATGCATCCTGAAACCTTGACGTTAGCCAACAACCTTGGGTTGTTGCTGCAGAACCAGGGTAAGCTCGGAGAGGCTGAGCCGCTTTTCAGAAGGGCTCTAGAGGGGCGTGAGACGCAGCTCGGTTTTGCTGGAGAAGCAGGGCAAGTTAGAAGAGGCTGAACCGCTTTGCAGGAGAGCTTTAGGAGGATTCGAGACGCAACTCGGAGCCCATCATCCAAGCACATTGACCTCCGTCAACAATCTTGCAGCGTTGCTCAAGAAGCAGGGGAAACTCCAGGATGCCGAGGTGCTTTACAGAAGAGCCCTAGCAGGACGCGAAGCTCAACTTGGGGCCCTGCATCCCGACACCTTGAGCTCCGTCTTTCATCTCGCCGACCTTTTGGAGGCCAAGGGCAGCCACCTGGCCGAGGCGCGTGGCGTCGAAGCGTGGTGTGGCTGCGGGTCCGGGGAGTCCGGGGGTGCAGCGGGGGTCAGTTGGAAAGTGAAGAAATCGAAGAAGTCGAAGCGAAACAGGTGAGAGGATGTGAGGGATTTTCAACGTGGAATGGGCCAGTTTGGAATGCTTTCGCAATCAACTTTAATCATGTTTTTTCCATGTTAGATGGAGGTGCTGAGGTGTTTTGGAGATTTTCTTGAAGAGTTAGATTGGAAAATCTACATCTCTTGAGCAAAATTTGGCGCCCACAACAAAGACAAGTCATGGAAGATGTGTGAAACAACCATGGAAGAATCGGTGTTTTGGGTGTTCGTAGGAGACTGAATGCCGTACCCCCAGAAAACAGCAAGGTCAGAGGACCTTGTCGTCATGATTGGGGAGAAAGTATACTTGCAGGGACCTACCAGCGACGCTCCAGGAGTGCCCATTGTTCGAGGACTTGCCGAATGTACCAAGCTCGTTCGAGTGTCCGGCTGTCACGCCGTCGTTCTGCGCGCCCGTGGTCCCACCTGGCGTCCGACCGGTCCGGTTCGGCTTCAGCTTCAGCGGTTGGGACAGACGCACGGCGGTGGCGAGTGCTTCACCGTTCGGTGTGAAGGAGGATTCGCCGGGTGACGTGTGTCAGAAACAGCCTCCGCAGGTGGAAGAGCTCTATCTTCGACATTTCCGAGCCATGGAGGCCGGTCTGACTTGTGGGAGATGGTGGGAAGTTGGAGAGCTTCAAGGGCAGGTGGGGATAAAGGCAGAGACCTATATATTATATATATATATTATATATATATATATATATCGCATGGGCTGACGCCCGGGTGCCGCCGACCCCCTTTTTGCAGGAACAGGCATCTCCTGTTTTAGTACGTGGTTCGCTGGCCCATGACCTGACCTCCAGTCGTGGGAAGTTTCGCGTCTCGAGACCTTCCGTTGGTGTTGGTGTGCGAGACGTCCAAAGGTTGAAGCCGTTTCGCTCATAGGCTTCATGTTCAACATGCAAGATGCAATTCATATCTTCTCTGTTGCTTGTAATGGCTGTAAAGGGGGCAAGGAGGGTTGGTCGCTGCTGCGGAGGCTTTCACGGCAAGCAACCAGCCGTGTCGAAACGCATAGACACCAGGGAAAGGGCCAGGTTGGTGCCCCGCTCACACGGGCCCACCTGATGGCCACAAGGGCATAGGAGCTGTAGTAGCAGCCCGTATCAGCAGCGCGGCTGGGCCCGGGTGCAGGCAGCAGCAGCCCAGGTGATGGCCACAGAGCGGCCCTGCTGCCCTGTAGATCAAAACGGGCTGGTGTCGCTGCGCAGGGTTTTAGGGCGGGCAAACGACACCATCTACTTCTGCGCGCAACAGCGGTCGG